CTCGGGGTGAGTTTTGGATAGGCCACGGGGTGGATTTTGAACTTGGTGAATTGCAGGTTTTAAGCTAGTGTGATCAGGTCTGCAGGCTTCGCATTTGCGATACTTGGCTCGCAAATGCGAGTTCGAAAATGCGAAGGCTGAGTCGCAAATGCGAAACAACCCAGTCCTGCTTTTCCTCGCAAATGCGATACAACCCTTTTGGGCCTGTTATCGCAAATGCGATCCTTTGTTCGCATTTGCCAACTCACAAATGCGAACATAGCAGAGGTCGGGTTCGCAATTCCGAACCCTGATCGCAATTCCCATATCTGCAACCTGCAATTTTATAACTTAGCTAAAAATCTTTCATTTTTCACACTCCTTCAAAATCAAAACACTCTTGGGCGATTTTTCAAAGATAACTCTTCTTCAAAATCGATTGTAAGACAATTTTAACTCGTTTTCTTCAATCATTAACATCTTTTCACATGATTTCAACTCAAAATCAATGATTTTCATGGGGGAAAATTGGGTGTTTTGGGTAGAACCTAGTTTTTTTCAAAAATTGGGGATTTGGACCTCGATTTGAGGTCCGATTTCAAAACAAATTATATATTTGGGTTCGTAGGAAAATGGGTAATCGAGTTTTGGTTCGAACCTCGGGTTTTGACCTTGTGGGCCCGGGGACGATTTTTGACTTTTTGGGTAAAACTTTAGAAAACCCATTTTCATGCATTAGAATTGATTCATTTAGTATTTATTGATGTAATTAAGTAACTTGTGGCTAGATACGAGCGAATTGGTGGTGAAATCAAGAGGTAAAACGGTATTAGAGGCTTGAATTGTGTTCGTGGCACCGAAGTAAGTGTTTGGTCTAACCTTATCTTGAGGGATTAGGAGTTTCCTATTTGCTATATATTATTTGTTGAGTACGATGTATATGCATGGTGGCGAGTATCTATACGTTGGTGTCAAGCATGCCCATGAGTCTTATACTATGATTAATGCGACTCCGTTTGTATTGTTCATGCCTTTGTGAGGATTTCTATTGTTGAACAAGTCTCGTGGAAGTAATATTAGAATTTGAATATTGAAGAGCGTTGACTCAAGTTGTAAAATGAATTGTGGAAGTATAATTGATAATTGAACCCTATAGAGCATTGGCTCAAGTTGTGAAGTGAGTTGTGAAGTAAATGTGAAAAGGAAAAGAGAAGAGGATTGTTGATATTGTTCTCTTGCCGGGATTTTATTGTGATTTCATTTATTTCCTTGCCCTTATTTCTTGTGATTATTGTTTTGGTAATAGAGTGTTAAAGTACGAAGGGTGATGTCGTGCACTTGTCCTTGATTTTCTTGAATCTTGTTGATAATTGAGTTATGTTGTCCTTTACGTTTATTTACTGATTTCCTGTTGTTACTTGATTCTATTATGTTGTTATTGATTCCCTTGCCGGGATTTTGTTGTTCCCTTGTCGGGGCTCCATTGTGATTGGTGTTGGATTGCATATTTGGATCGGGTTGCACGTCGCAACAATGTTATATTTGGATCGGGTTGCACGTCGCAACAATATTATATTTGGATCGGGTTGCGCGCTGCAACAATATCATATTTGGATCGGGTTGCACGCCGCAACAATATCATATTTGGATCGGGTTGCACGTCGCAACAATATTATATTTGAATCGGGTTGCACGCCGCAACAATATTATATTTGGATCGGGTTGCACGCCGCAACAATAATATAATTGGATCGGGTTGCACGCCTCAACAGTGATAAATGATATGAATCGGGTTGCACGCCGCAACATAGTTATTATATTTTGGGATCGGGTTGCGCGCCGCAACAATTGATAATACGAAGGGTTTATAGATTGGTTACGAGTTCCTTATTGTTTTGCCGTAAATTCTAATTTGTTCTTATGCTTTTCTCTTAATTTACTGTTGGTATTGATATTCCCCCACATCATGTACCCCCTCCCATCTTTACTCGTTATTCCTGTTTTATTTTTCCGCTGCCTATTATATAACTGCACAGGTTTATTTGGTAGTCTGGTCCTAGCCTCGTCACTACTTCGCCGGGATTAGGCCAGACACTTACCAACACATGGGGTCGGTTGTGCTGATACTACACTCTGCACTATGTGCAGATCCCGGAGCGGCAGCTTTTGGACCGTAGCATTGGGTGGTTACCTTCAGTTAAGTTAGAGATCCCGAGGTAGTCGTGCAGGCGTCCGCAGGCCCGACGTTCTCTTCGATCTCTATCTCTATGTGTATTCTGTTTTCATTTGCTTCCTAGACAGGTTTTACTTTCTTTTCAGACATTTGTATGTAGTATTCATAGACAGTCTGTGATATTGTGACACCGGATTCCGGGTAAAGATGTATGTTGGCATTGTTGTATTGTTTATGGTTAATTTACCATATTAAGTCTTCCGCTTGTATCTATTTATCGTTAATATTTCACTGTTAATCACATGTTAGTTTAAATTATTAAAAAGGCTAAATAAAAGAGTTAGAGATTCTATATTACGCGGCTTGCCTAGCTTTCACGAGTAGGCACCATCACGACTCCCGAGGGTGGGAAATCCGGGTCGTGACACAACTGATTAACTGGACTTCCCTAATTCACGCTTATTTTTGCTACTGTATTAATGAATACAATAGCTTAAATACATCAAATACATTTTATAACCATAGAAAATGTATCTATAATCCGTATATAGCAAATGGTATTTATAGATGACTAATAACTACTAAAAGATAGTGATTTATGAAAATTTTCCGTTGTTATACCATGCCAATAAATGTAGTGAGTGACTATTGAGTTCATTAAAGGGATTCTTTCATAACTAACCAGCTGTCCAAAAATATTATGTTTGGCTATTCCATTACAATATTGCAAACCAACGTCAAAAAATAATTTCACCATATAGTCAATTTTTTTTTTTTTGAAAAAAAACTCAACTTTTACTTACAACATGGTATATCTTTTTTTAATACTTTTGATTGCAATTTTTCACATCATGTGTCTTGGATTACATTTATTGGTATTTGATTTAAAAAATTATATAATATGATCTGACTTTTGGTGAAGACAATATAATTTGATTAAAAAAATTCTATAATATAAGAAGTCTTATTTTTTTTTCCCTTCATACTCTATCTCTCTAAATTTATGATTACACTTAAACAATGTCTTAGTCTGAAATATGGACCTTGTGGCCGTGAATTAATCTTTACAAAATGGAGCAACAAATTCAACATAATTTTTCTTCTTAAAATTGTCATAGTTTGGTATCGAAACCATCAACATAGTGCGAATAAAAATTGAATTCAAATTAATTGTTTGGAGAACTCGCATTGCTACTTCGTGGTACCCAAACTCCCTACTAAATGTTATTCCATTCCTAAGGTTACAACCCAAAATATCAAATTAAAGATGCATTAGTGTTTATTAGTGGTCTTAAGGTCTGTTTTTTTTTTTTTATAAAAAAAAAATCCTGTCCAATTCATATATGTATATTGGGGCCCTATTATTAATAGAAAAACTTACACAAATGTCCTAAATAAGTCTCAACTTACCAACCTCTAGTCATTAGTCATGGTCTTAAAAAATTATATAAAAATTAAAAAACCAAATAAAAATAATTGTTTCTCTCAAAGAATCGCATGCAAAAATCTCCTTCCATATTTTTAAGCGTGATTAACAACTTTACATGCAAGACGGAAATCATGGATGAGGTAACAAATAAGGTGATGAAATATAAAAACAATATACAATATTCCAAAAATCTAAGCAAAAAAGGAACTTTTTTAATGGGTATATTTAAAATTCATTGAAAACATATAGATAAGTCAATACAAAATTTGAAGAAGATTGGAGGTGATTTGGACTGGTTTTGTATAAAAATTCTTAATTAAATCGAGTTCAAAAAATTCTTCTGCGACACATGTATCAAACATATATCGCGCATATATCTCACACACATGTATACATGGATATACATGTGATACACAATTGATACTAATATAATACATATGTGATACATAAATGATACATAGTATGACACACATATCTTTTTTTTTTCATGTTTAGTTTTTACTTCGAATTTTCAATTCAAACCACCTCAAAACTTCACCAAATCATTCCGAAACTGAGATTCAAGCCCCTTAAGATGTACCCAATCTATCTAATAACACCCACTCAAAAGAAAGCAAAAAATTGATATTTTTTTGCTACAAACAACTAATTGGTTAATATTAGTAATATTTGGCTAGTATTAATAATATTTTATGAATTGACCAATTTTTATAATGAGCTATTTATAAATGGACATAATTGGTACTTTCCCTTATTAACATGAATAAGCATGAAAAATTATACTTTAAAGTAAATGATCCTACCAAAGGCGACCTATATCCCATACACTTGGATTACTTAGCTAGCGTTTGCATATAAATTTAGTTAAAATTTAATTACTTTTTTGAAGTTGTATTGATAAATTATTTTTGGAGGTTTGAAGTTGTGTTTGGATATGCATTGAGTTTTTTTCACTTTTAGCCCCCCGCCGAAAATTATTTACATTCCGTAGCCGAAAAAGTGTATAAAATTTGTATATAACATGTATAATGTATATACAAAAATATATATTTTTTCGGCTATTATTTTAAAGAAAAAATAACATTGTATAGCCGCTCTCAAAATAATAGCAAATAAAATAAAATAATGTTTTTTGTATATTTTTTTATATATACATTCTGTATGTTATATATAAAATTATATATTTTTTCGGCTACGAAATATAACTAGTTTCTGGCACGAGCTAAAAGCGAAAAAAGTCCTATTTTAAAAGCGGCTATACAGGGTCATTTTCTCAAAAATTTTAACCCAAAATTAGCACAAATTAGTTTTGGAACTGAATTTTTTTTTAAAAGATGATCAAATTTCAGGAAACAAATACTATTTTTAATATTTACGTGGAAAAAAAAAAAATCTATGTCCAAAATTCCAAATAGAAGTTTGATAATTTGTCTGTCACCGGAGCTTACACTACTTCGGCAAACAAAAGGAAAACAGAAAAAAGCAGCAACTAAACTGGAAACCTATAGGCGCTAATATTGGTTTGCTACCAAATTCCCCAATTGAAACCCGTCAACGGCTAAACTCCGGCGTAGGCTCGACGAGTTTTTGTCACATCGACATTGCTGTTAAGAATCAATTTCTGCTTCTTTTTTACTGGATAATTACTCTCTTGAATTTCTATGAATTAATGTTATTTTTTGTTTTATTTGCAGATTCTAGGGTTGTGTCAAGATTGAACTGGGTAATTATCAAATTTACCAAAGGCTGAATTTTTATTGTAATGCCAATATGAACGGTGTTGTTTAGATATGAAAATTTGTTTTATTAGCAGATTCTTACCAAAGGTTGGATTTTTATTGGAGAATGAAACAGTAGATAAAAATCTATGACGGAAAAGTATAATGTTGAAGCTGCAGAAATTCTTGCTAACGAGGCACTGGTAACTGTTTAATCAACATAATTAATTAGGTTTAGGGGAGGGTTTAATTGTATGCATTCTTATTACAATTTGGTGTGTTCTTTGTATATAGCGCTTGCAAATTTCAGAAGCAGTGCCGATATATGAGCAACTTCTGTCCACGTTTCCCACTGCGGTGAGTCCTATATTAAGTACTGCTCGCTTGCTCGATTTATAGTTGAACAAGAAAGCTTTTGTTGCCAGTAATCCTCTCCATCTCTTAATTCTGTTTATGTTATTATCAACATTATTATTAATCCTTTTTTTTTAAGAAAACATATTAATTTATCTTGGTGTGGGGTGGAATGCAGTTGCTAGTTAGTCTGCTAATATAGAAAACAGAAGCTAATTGATATTTGATCTCGACGCAATTACTGAATAAAAGGAAAAGAAAAACAAAGTTAAATAACCCCGCTTCACTTGTTCGTCGTGGCTGTGCTCTTAGCTGGAAAAACGGCCACTTCACTTGTTCAAACCCATGACACACGCCTAACCCACACATCATGCACTGGGTTCTTACTACTAGAGCTAGACCAAAGCTTACATGTTTTCAAGTGAAATCTTTTCTTCATTCTACATGAATGTTTTGTTTCTCTTGCTGTAGCATATAGAAGGCTGGATTTATTGCATCCTTGTGTATCCAACCTCCATCGTTGGTGAAATGTGGGCAATTTTTTTGACAAAATTCAGTGGCAGAATTTGGATTAACTTAGAACCATGACAAGATATGTAGAATGTCTGTTAGGCTCTTCCTAATTGCCCAACTTTACCCTCTCAATCTGCTAGGTCAATGACCATTGGATAACGAATGCTCAAGAGGGGGATACCAAATGATCATTAAGAATTACACCGGTACAGATCAAATACATTAGGAATAGGAAACATTATGGTAATTTAGAATATTCCGTTCAGCGTAAAACATGTGAGTTAAGTCACTCACCTATTTTGATTTGGGAGTGAAAAGAGTGTACTCTAGGAGCTGGATGTGCCAAACTTTATTTAGGTAGTGCAATGGTGTTAGAATGTTCGACAACTTGGACGAGGTCCAAATATTTCCTTTGTTCAGTGGTTCTTCTCGTTCTCTATCTCTGCACGAGAAGGACAATTTGTTGACCATTTTTGTGCATGTCCTTGCCGAAGGGCAACACTAATCTGTTATGTATTGTTCCAATTTATCTGATGTCCCCAAAGGGACCTCACTCTATCTCTGTCTCAGACTAATATATCTATTTCCAATAAGCGTCAAACATAATATATCTAATTTGCTCAAGCTTTAATGAAGAATCTAGATTAACTGACTTTCTCAGTTTCATTACATGTGCTCGTCAATGAACTGAGTTTTTGCTTTTTTGTAACTGCACCTGTTTGCACTGGCTGGTACCTTCTGATGAAATAAAACTTTACGTTACCTGATCCAACAAAAAAGAAATGCCAAGCTTTAAGTTCTCAGATTTGCATATTCACGTGAAGTTGATTTCCTCCTAAGTGCTAGGAAAAGAAGTTATGCAATGCGAAATGTATGATTAGAAAGAGGTTTTTTGGTGCTTGAAGACGCCATCCCTTGCTGATGTTATCTTTACTTTTATCTAGGCAAAATACTGGAAGCAATATGTAGAGGCACACATGGCGGTAAATAATGATGATGCAACAAAGCAAATATTTAGTCGCTGTCTCTTGAACTGTCTACAGATTCCTCTTTGGTATGTTTATTCTGATGATATTTTATTTTCTTGGAGTTTCTCTTTTCCATGTTTCTTCTCGTTAGTGAATCTTTTTGCTCTCACATTTTGGTGTGGAATGGGGTTGGAAACCTGGGAGTTTCCATGGCTGTTCAACCCTTTGCACTTTCATGTCAATTAGTTAGGATTTAAAGTAACATGAATGATATTGATGGTGCGGGAAACTGCTTTGCTGGTTTAAAAGCCGTTCTAATTTTTTATTGCTGAAGTTCTAAAAGTTATTCCAACTTATACTGACTGGTGGTTTTACCTTTTCTCCTTGCCAAGAAAAACATGGACTACAGTGTCAAAATGTATCCATATTTATGTGGTTTGGCTGTCTGATGCTTCACATTTTAAGCTGAAGATCCTGTTATTTATTCACCATGACAAGATCATTATTCTTTCGTTGAATTTTCTTTGTCATGCATCAGCTCAAGAGTTTTCTTGGTGATTATTCAGGCGCTGTTACATCCGCTTTATCAGGAAAGTCAATGACAAAAGGGGGAATGAGGGTCAAGAAGAGACAAGAAAGGCTTTTGATTTCATGCTTAACTATGTTGGTATGTTATCTTTAAGAAATATTCCAAGAATGAAGAGACCAAATTGATGCGTCTAATTTTGCATGCTTATCCAATCTATTATGCTATATACTGCGTACATTCTTTCCCTTTACCCTCTTATTCCTTGCCAATAGTTAGACTGGTAGTATGGAATTCTGCTTTTAGTATTGGACTTACGTTGATATATTTCATCAATTTGAATGAAACTAGGTGAACTCTCCAATTTGCTTAATGTTGTGGAGAAGAAGGGACATGAAAAGAAAGTTGAACTGCCATTGTTTAGTTTACGAGGATAAGAAAAGTAAATAAAATGGAGTAGACTTCTCTTTCCTGTTTTTTTTCTCCTACCAACCATGGTTAGAAACTTTCTTTCACTTTCCCCTATATTTCCTCTTCATTTTTCTTTCTCTTTTCATTCTCGTTAGTCTCCAAAAAGATCCATAAAAAAATAAAAGCCCTTTAGATTAAGCATTTGACTTGACAAAAAATGAAGGATGGTATTAGCAATATCGAACTTTTGACCTTAATTGCTTCTCATCAGCAAGAGAAAATCATGGCAGTTTGATATTGTTGCAATCGGAAGGAGAAGCGAAGCTACTGTCATTATGCTGTACCTCAGTTAGTCTTCCCTCTACAGCTTCAAATATCTTGGACTTAATGACAACACATTTTTCGAGTTTATAACAGCATATTTAGACGACATCATGTTGATTAAATTGATGTTTGTTTATTAACTCAGGATTGCATTGGCAATTAAAGTATGAGATGTTGCATTTTTGAGATAGGGGTTACAGATATAAAGGTGTGATTTGGGTTTGGAACTCGTAATTTCTATTTTTACTTCTTCGCTACTCGTGCACTTCATATTTCCTATGGCATGATGTCTCTAGAAGCTTTACTTGCTAACACATGCATTATGGCTTTGTGATATTTCTGTTGTTTTTGCCAAGTGCTTCATTTTCCTAACCTACGTTTTAACAGGAGCAGACATTGCATCTGGTCCAGTGTGGATGGAGTACATTGCATTTTTAAGGTCTTCGCCTGTATGGGACACACTTTCTCAATAAACAATACTTTGTACATATAAACAATACTTCATATCTCTTATATATTGTTGTTATTTTTATTACGCATTTTTATGGTACTAATATATCATCTCCTATTGCTTTTTTAGCCGAGGGTCTCCTGGAAACAGCCTCTCTACCCTTCGGGGTAGGGGTAAGGTCTGCGTACATATTACCCTCCCCAGACCCCACTTGTGGGATTATACTGGGTCGTTGTTGTTGTTGTTGTTGTTCAGACACACAAGCACAATTTATAAAAGTTGTTTTGTTAGTTATGTAGCCTTAAGGTTAAAGCTGTATGATGATGATGTAGGCTCAAACCACGCAAGAAGAATCACAACGAATGACCTCAGTGAGGAAAGCATACCAAAGAGCTATTGTCACCCCAACCCATCACGTGGAACAGCTTTGGAGGGACTATGAGAATTTTGAAAATTCAATTAGTCGAGCCTTGGTAGGCCTCTCCTCTCTGCACAAGTTCTCAGACTACTGTTAGTTGATTTTATATTGTTGGCCAGCAATGTAATGGGTCTCACTTTCAACGGAAAACTGTTATTATTACTTTTCGAAGGAAAAGACACTAATATTCACTTGATAAAAAAAGGAACATCCTCGTATTTTCAGTTACAATAATACATGTATGTGTTTGTGAAAATTGTGTGTAAACTCTAGTGAAAAATTTATTGGACTTTTGTGAATGAGTATTACTTTTTTGTGTATGCTATTTTAGGTGTGTTATTGGTTGATACCAAAAAAAAAAGAAGTAAAGAAAAAGAAAAAACCTAAAAGAAAGAAGAACAAAAAAGCAGACCTGGAGACCATACATGCATGTGTTTTTTCCGACTATTTGGAAGGAGAGGACCCAGAGATGTTTCAAGGAGGGCATCATCAATACATGCCCTAAAGCATAGATATTTATGTAATTTAGCGTTTTGGTGTAACTTGTCTGATGCATATGATGTCGAAAAAATGTTAAGAGTACATTAATGCTTACAGAACCATTGACGTTGTAATCATTGAAATAGCTGTTTCATAATGCCTAGCACTATCTTAATATCCTTTGCTTCTGATAAAAAAATAACAAGAAACCAGTTGGAATATATTCTGTAAGTGTTGCTGATTGATTTTCTATTTGTCAAAATTAGATGGACTTACCTTCAAACTCATGGGCTGATTAGAATTTTCTCTCAGTGCACTTTATGATCAGCTTACTAGGCTATGTACCTTTTTCTTTATTTTAGTAAAACCCAAACCCCTCAAACCCGTCTCGCCAGGGGCAACAATATTTTCCCACTTCTGTCCTGGTTGACTGGAACTCCCAATCATTTGATTGAAAGTTTAGTGCTCTTATCCCTATAACAGCTTAACTTGTCTTTCTAGACGATTTACCTACTCTCTATGTGTGTTAGCATAAGATCCTAAATGGTTATTATTACACAATTTGTTGCTCCGTATTCTCAACTTTTTTTTTGAATTCTTATATTTATTGACTTGAAATATTAGGTTTTTACTTAAATACCGGAAGTAATTAATAAAGTAGCCAATCAAATACTTAACATAACATGTTTTGAGGTGAATGAAGTGGGAGGGGAATCATGAGCTCTCAAGTTCTAATCCCAATGGTCAGCAGAGACCAAAAAGACTAGGTAATTTTTTTCCATCTGCCTATGCCTTAGTGGCCGGAGACCTGGTACCTATGCTAATGGAAGCCACTGGTACCTGATGAAACAGTGGAGTGCACATAAGTTGGTCCAGGCACCACCGTCATAAAAATAAAAAAAGCAAAAAAGACACAACATAGTTTGAGGTTCTCAAAGGCTAAAGAGGTTGATGCTTGACTTGATGTGCTGGAGGCCTTGATTCGCACATGGATTATACTTTCTCTTGCTTTGTCATGCATTCTCCAACATTATTTTCTAAATTAGCTAGAAGAATAGCAGATGATCTTAGGAAATGACCATGTAGACTTTCTCGTAAAGCCATCTGAAGGTGATTTTTTTTCTTAGGCAAGAAGAGAAAATAGAGAAAGAGCTTCATATGTAACATTTTTAGTAAATCAAGCTGCAATCAAGCCAAATATCATGAGAATAGGATCAAAATATGTTGATTTATCAAAATAATAAAAGTCCATGCTGGAACTTTTCTTTTTTGATAAGATAAATAATTTTATTAACAATTATAATCCATATATCAAAAGAAGAGAACCTATACTATAATATGGTTCTCAACAAGGAAGGTCCAATCCTCTGTACAAATAGGGACCTCATGAGTCCAACAAAAAGAAATTAGAGACAAAAGGCTTCTTTGCAAGTTTACAAAATCTTGTTCCACCCCTTCAAATGCCCTCCTATTTCGCTCTTTCCAAATAACCCACATGATAGCTAAGGGGGCAACACTCCATGCCCTTGGACTTCTCTGTCCCCTCATGTGGGTCCAACTATGCACCGCCTCCTTCATGTGCCTGACATCACCCGTTGCACCCAAACAAATTAAGGACCACCCTCCACAAATGATTAGCCACTTGACAATTGCGGTAAAAGATGATCTACATCTACACCCGAGTTTTTGCACATGAAGCACCAACTAACATAGGTGATCCTCCTCTTTTTCAGATTTTTCGCCGTCAAAATCACTCCCCTTGCTGCCAACCACACGAAGAAACAGACCTTTCTCGAAGCTCTGGGGATCCAAATAGAGCAATGAGGGAAATTTCGTTCCTCTCTCACTAATAACCTCTTATAGTAAGATTTAACAGATGGACCTGTACTCTCCCGCCATCTCCATACATCCGATATATTGTTTGGTGTGTCCAATCCGTGCAAAATCTCAACCAAACTGTGAAATTCTTCCATCTCCCAATCTTGTAGGTTCCTCCTGAATCTCAAATCTCAATGAACTACCCCTTCATGAGACCTACAAATTTGTTGGATCATCATCCCTCTCTAGCAAGATACACTATATAGTTAGGAAAAACTTCCCTCAACTTGTTCTCCCCACACCATTATGATGGAACTTAATTTGGTTAATCTAATAAGTTATTTGGAATAATGCTTTAAGTTTCTGTACTTTTTCTTGTTCCTGAACTCTTCGTAGGAGGATAGATCTACCTTTTGTTTAGGCATATTCCACTTGGTTATCTGTAGAAGTCATCTACTTGCTCATATTAACTTTCAGAAGGTGGCATTGACATTACTTTAACCTTCTTTAAATTCTTTCAAAATGTGGCAATCTTTCTGGTATAAATGTTTGGCATGTATGCTGATAGTAGTAACTGGTATTTTGAGATATTCTCTGTTGATTAAATTGCAGGCAAAAGGGCTGGTCTCTGAATACCAACCAAAATATAACAGTGCGAGGGCTGTATACAGAGAAAGGAAGAAGTACATTGATGAAATTGATTGGAATATGCTAGCGATTCCACCTTCCGGCTCTTCCAAGGCATTTCCTTAAGTATCTTTAGTAAACTTTTAAGTTACACTTGAATCAGGCCAATTAGATTGCACATTTCACCACCCCATTAATTGGGCATGTTCAACATCGTCATGCATGCGAGATAGATGTTTAATGGAAATGTGTCATACTCACCTCAACTAGTTTCATGTTGAGACTCTCATGTAATGTAAAAGTGATGACATAGAAGTTTTACAGGATAGTTCTGTGTCTCTGCAAGTTGCACTTATACTTCTGCATGTTTGCTTACATCAATCACTTTTCATGTGTCTGCAGGAGGAAATGCAATGGATGGCATGGAAAAGACTTCTAGCCTTTGAGAAGTAAGGGACGGTCCTGTAACATCAGTCAGTCGGCTAGATTGTAATTTTGGCCTCATGGCTAGTTAAAAGACATTAGTTTAGTCGAAATTAGTTAGTTCCTCTCTGATTGTCTTTTTAGTCCCTAACATAATGCATAAGTCTGTAATTTCTTTTGCTTATTGATATTTCACTTGCTAATGCTTTAACCATGTAACTTGGAGTTATAACAGAGGCCCATATAAATTTTGTGTAGTTCCTTATTCCCGATGTTCACATCAACTGCTGAATTCACCTATTATACTTCTTTCTATTCTGGAACTAATGTACTTGTTTGGCGTGAAGACCTACCTGATTTCCGAGTATATAGATACTTCTAATATTTTTTTATTATAAAAGCAAGAGTTTATACTTTTCACACATGTTGCTGCTTTGTTACTCTCCTTTTCCTTTTTAAAAGTCAGTTCTTATCGTGGATTCTTTTCTTTTGAAAGTAAAATCGAAAATAGTTTCATCTAATTATTCTGGTCTTCATGTCAGAGCAAACCCCCAGAGGATAGACAGTGCTTCTGCTAATAAAAGAATTGTGTTCACATATGAGCAGGTATAGGAGACAAACATTAAAATATCGTTGCCTCTTTACTTAGATTTTCATTCTTTCCCTTTCTCTGGCTGATGGCAATGTATAGTTTTATGTGTGTGGTTCCCATATGTTATATTCTTCTATGACTTATATAGTATCTTGAAGTACTTGCCTTTTTGATATGTGCTTTCAATAAAAAATTGAGAGACCTTTTGCTTAGCTACTGACCTTACTTTCATTTAGCAAATCTCTTCCTATTGGACGGGAAGCTCAATACTTGCAACCTGAGGCCTGAGGGTTCCTGGCTGGCTAGCTGTGGATTTTTTCTTAACTTTTCTGATACACGTTTTCTATGTGGTCGTGCACACATGTTTAATATGGCATAAGCACCTGACAAGAGGATCTGTAAAAACTTGTGGCTACTATTCGGTCGTGCCTGCATATGTTTAGTGGTAACATAAGCACGTAACAAATGGATCTGTAAAGATTTGCAGTGGTAGTAGCACAACCTTTTAAACTTTTGTTACCTATCAAAATAAATCATCTAAACATTTATTGTTAAGAGTAATGTTTTTAAAATAAACTTCTAAAAGTTCAGAGATTCTTCTTTGGATTAATCTAAAAGTTAATGATAATGTGACTTTTTCTTATGTATCTTTACTAGCATCCTTGAATTAGATAATCGGCTCCCAAATGTTCCATAGGGTCTATCACCCCCATTGAGTAGAAAAGCTCTGAATGCATTTACTTTATTTTTAAATTACAAGTTTGAAATCGCCTTGATGTGCTGAAGCGAGATAAAGAATCATATTGAAGACTATCATTAGCTCTCAGACAAAGGATTACCTTGATATCGGTGGAGTCTTAGTAAATTGTTGGTTCTGCATTCACACACAGTGTCAGGAGCTGCTTTAGTTTGTTTAAGGACTACTTTGTACTTCATAACTATGTCATCACATTAGTTTTATTTAGTTCTTTCTAGAATGGTGATTAGCCTCATAAAAAGCTTGTTTTTTCGGAGTCCTTTAACCGGATTAAAGACTTGTATCCGGTGCAGTGATAAGCGAATCAGAGAACTGCAAGTTTTAGCTCCTAAAGTTGCTGTAAAAGTCAAATTATTTTGTATTGGAATGAAATGGAACTCTGAAAGCGGAATGGATACATAAGATTTTCATACAGTCAACCCCAATTAATATAACATTGAGGTATAGTTGATTGATACATATGATATTCTTGTTTTTTTTTTATTGAAGTGGTTTTGGGGTTTGGTGGCTATTAGTCTATGTTTGATTTCTATGCTCAAACAAGATTTACTGATCTGGATGTTCTATGACAGTGCCTCATGTATTTGTATCATTATCCTGACATATGGTATGAATATGCCACATGGCATGCAAAAGCTGGTTCAATAGACTCTGCTATCAAGGTTTTCCAGCGAGCTCTAAAAGCTCTTCCTGGTATTTTCCTTTTTTCTTTTCATGCTTGATGACAAGATGATACTTGTCTTTTCTTTTTGATGTTATTTTCTTCTGATTTTAGATAATTTTTTGCCTCTTATGCTTAGACTCCGAAATGCTCAGATATGCTTATGCTGAACTTGAGGAATCACGTGGAGCCCTTCAGGTAATTATGCATCCATTTACTTTCCCTCAATATACAGTTTTCTGTATTTCATTTTTCCTATGCTGCACGGTCTGGTGCAGGCTGCTAAAAAAGTATACGAAAATCTTCTGGGGGATGGATCCAATGCCTCAGCACTGTCTCATATCCAGGTAAGACCATGAATCTCATATGAGAATCATATGCATATTTACTTCTTTCTCTTTGAGATGAAAATTTACTATCTTTGGTTCCCATAAAGATGAAATGCAATCACATTCATTGTAAACGTGATTGAGAAAGTAAGTCCTTAAAGTTGAGTTCTTTTCTTATGCTTATAACACCTAAAACGTGGGAAGTAATGATTATTACGTAATGTTTAGATGCTCTTGTTCCCAAGGNCCAGTAGAGAAATTAAAAAGTTAATAGACTAGAACACGTATAAATTCTCACCGAACAATCATTTTGCAGAGTAGCATTCTCCAATGTATACAGTATATACTCTTAGATGAGCTACGGAACTTATCAAGCTTAATAAACTGAGAAATTAAAGGAACATTAAAAGTTGTTCCATTTTGGTTGAACTAAACGGAATAGAAGGACAATATTTCTCTTCAGTGCCATTCCAAAAAGGCTGGTAAACCAAAGCATCTTCTCCCTTGTTCCTTTGGAGAAACAGAAGGCAAGATGGAGATCAGACCATGGAATGTATGGTTTAGCTAAAACAATAGTACAAGAGAGTTGCACTTGGAGAGTACAACTGTAATAGCACACGGCTAGCGGTTGAGCTCGAAAGGGGGTTCGTGCTGTAACTTGCCTCAGGTAAATCACACATATGAATGGGAGGGGAAGTTAGAGGCCATATGAGGGTGAGTCAGGATTCAATTGTTGAGACACTTTTGGGTCCAAAAGGACAAAATCATGAGGTGCAAAAACCTTTCAGGTGGCCCAAAGGGGTCAGGCCAAAGCGGACGATACCTTGGCAGTTGGGCTTGGGTCGTGAATGGTGGTATTAGAGCTGGTACCTCCCCTAGTACGATGGTGGAGTGAACCTCTGAAAGGACGTTGAGTCCCTAAGAGGGGTGAGTGTAACAGCTCGACGATCGCTAGTGGTTGAACTCGAAAGGGGGTTCGCAGCGAATTTGCCATGGCAAATTCTACATCGGAACGGGAGAGGAAAGTTAGGAACCATATGAGTGCGAGTCTAGATACAACTATTGAACCGCCTTTGGGGTTAAAGCCCAAGGGGACAAATCGTGATGCTCAAAATCCTTGTGGCGGCCCAAAGATTTTGGGCCTAAGGGAACAATACCTTGGCAGTTAGCCCTGGACGTGACAACAACTTTGTGATGGATCAATAGTATGTTTACCTTATGTGTGCATTATGTTCATGGGACGTGGGAAATAACAAAGCAATTCGCCTTGTAGCTTCTATGATAATTAGATAGGACGATTTTGTGTTTGATCACTCAAATGTTCTTGACTAAGATAGTAGTTTTTTAGATTATGAGCAATTTTTTTGACGAGTAAATTTTGTAATATTTCAGAAGAAATTATCTTGTTTGGAAATAAGTTCAAAAGTCAAGTGCAAGAAATTCTTTTTGGACTATTTTGAAATTACATTGAAGAAATTAGGTCGTATTTAAGAAAAAGTTGTTAATAAATCCTTACACAAAATAGTTTTGAATTAATTAAGGTACACCCCAATTAGTAGCTAACATGTCAGTAGACAGGTATCAATTTGCAACTCTCTTATGGACTAGCAGTGAATTTCATTTAATTGTTCTATTCCTTGATACCGCAGTTTATAAGGTTTTTAAGAAGAAGTGAAGGAGTTGAAGCAGCTCGCAAATACTTTCTTGATGCACGGAAATCTCCAAATTGCACTTACCATGTCTATGTAGCTCACGCGATGATGGCTTTTTGTCTTGACAAGGATGCAAAGGTGATTAGGACTATCTTAATTTCAAATGTTCCAAGCATGGGATAGGTGCATGGAACTTGATAGGGAATTCTGTATCTCAGAGAATATGTCTGGAATTCTAAAGCCATTGCCCACAAATTCGTGTATAATAATTTCATTATCTGTTGGATCGTACATGTTGAATTTTTTGTTATTTTAAACCAAATTATGCAATCCTAACTGTTTCATTTCAAAATTAATTGGTCTATGATTGTTGAATTTCTTTTATTTCTAGAGGTTCCTGTGTGTTTCTTTTACCTGTCTTATCCTTTGGATGATATGCATTCAGTTTTGTGCATTCATGCAGATGGCACACAATGTTTTCGAAGCAGGGTTGAAACGCTTTATGCATGAGCCTGGATATATCCTTGAGTGAGTCTCCTTTTCTTCTAATTAATAAATGCTACTGTGGAGGGGTGGTTGCATGATGTTCCCGTGAAATCAGGAAATTAGGATTTCTGTCGTAAAAGTTTTGCCATCATTTTGAGAAGAGGTAAAGGGTTAATTAGTCATAGCCCTTATTTAATAAAATGCTATCAAACATTTTTCTTAATGCGTGTGCCAAAACATTAAACGACCTTAAAATAACCGGAGGGAGTTTTTTTAAAACATGTAACACAGGTATTGACGACTATTCTGCCTGGGAACAAGTAGCAAGGTTTGCTTTCCGTTCTGCTCTGAGCACAAATAACCAGGAGCTAATTAAATTTTGCAGGTATGCAGATTTCCTTTATCGTTTGAATGACGATAGAAACATCAGAGCATTATTTGAACGAGCATTGAGCTCACTCCCCCCAGAGGAATCTGTTGAGGTGTTTTTTCTATTATTTTCTTAATTGTCCAATTTTGCAGTTCTTGCTTGTTTTCAGAGTGTCTTTGGACGAGTAATCCCTGTTTAGAAATTGAACAATTCTTCCCTTTATGTGTGCTCATTGATGTGATTCGTTGGTTGTACTTACTTTTAAGTGGATGAGCTTGACTGCATCTCTCATATGTTTGGTGATTTCTTTCTGCTAATGATTCAAAAGATGTGGAAGGTCGCATCTCTAAGTATCCTTTGTGTTTTTACTGTACATAGCTCATATATTTCATGGGGATTTCCTTGTCTTATCCGCCTGATAGCATGTAACTGATGAAGCAGTGTTCAAATGTTAGTGTAGAGGTTGTGCTGCTCCAAAATTAAGACACAGACTGCTAAGTGCTTCTCAGCATCTTTGTATACCGGACTAATTTCTTCCCTCTATTGGTGTAATATAACCAGTTAAAACTCCAATAAAATAAGCTAGGTGTCATCCTGGTTCTTAGGTTTGTTGGAGTCTTTTTGATCATGTGGTGTCAGGACTCCTGAAGTTGGAAAGTTAAAAATTCTAATTTAAATATCTTGTACACTACCACTCTTCTCTGTTTTCAAAATCTAACATTCTTGTGACCGCTCTTGCTTAAATGACATCGTACTGAAATAATATACCTACTCTTTATGTAGGTTTGGAAAAAATTCACTCAATTTGAGCAAACGTATGGAGATCTTGCCAGCATGTTGAAGGTAAATTTATTTAACATCCAGAAAATTTGATGCTGCTATACATTCTCTTGGTTTTTCTTTTGAACTTTGTGGACTATTTTCAAGTGCAATTACAAATTAAACTAGTTTGTTTTGAACTATTGGTATGTCCAGGTAGCATATCCTCTAGATCGTATTCCTTTTTGCATTTAACAAGTGTTGGTATCCACCAACACAAGAACTCTAACTACTTGTTTACTTTCTTTGTCCATTAAAGTAATATGCAAATGAAATGAACTTAGAATCAGTTTCAGTCAATCTGTTCAACTAAACACCAACAGGGAAGTTATATTCAGAATATCCCTCTTTGGAGGGCATATCATTATATACATTTATTACATCTGCGTTCACCCTATTGTTTGTATTGGCAGGTTGAGCAGAGAAGGAAAGAAGCTCTTTCCAGAACAGGTGATGATGGAACATCAGAGTTAGAGAGTTCGTTGCAAGATGTTGTATCACGCTACAGTTTCATGGATCTGTGGCCTTGCTCTTCAAATGACTTGGATCATCTAGCACGCCAAGAGGTTGTCAGCATATGTTTTTGTGCGCGCGTGTGTGTGTCACAGTTTTACTTTCCAGATTTTGATCTAGCAATCAGAAGAGTCTGATATTCAGTTATTGGGCACTATTATCATTTTTCAAACGTTATCTTAACTTGCACTTTTTGCCTATTTGCAATTTTACCCTCCTTTCAGTGGCTCGCGAGGAACATCAACAAAAAAACTGACAAACCTACTCTTGGTATTGAGGCAGGTTCTGCAGGTATCATTGTTTGGTTGATTTAATACAGAATTAAACTCATGTTTTGAATTGTGACTCTCTAACTCCTGGTCTCCTCATCTTAGATAAGACTTCTTCTGGTGTTTTGTCCAACACAAATCCCCCTGCCAAGGTTGTGTATCCAGATACTTCAAAAATGACAATTTATGACCCAAGGCAAATGTCAGGTATGCCTTTGGAGCTTCTTATTCTATTGGGCAGTTCTTTGCTTAACAAGCTCCCAAACAGATATACTGTTTTTTCAAGTTCTGTGAACAATTGTTTGACTCTGAAGTTTTAGGTGTGATTAACAAACTTAGGAATAAATGGTGCAATATGTTCTGACTTCTTATTCAATAAATTATGCTTCTTAATGTCATCAACAGATTCTCTTTTTCTACTAAAAGGATAATTTCTAACCTTTTCGAAGACTTTTATTTTTTTAAAAGAGTTGCACATGATTGAGATTTCGATCACACCTTCAGGTCACAGTTGCCTAAACTATATCCAGATCTGAATAGTAGGGTATAGCGAATAACCTTTTCTCAAGTTTCATTGAGAATCATTTGAAATTTTATTATAAACTAGAAGAGTTGCATCTCTTTATGTTTGTTGGATGATCCTTGTTTTCCAGGTCCTGCTGCTCTTGCGGTTCCATCTGCTTCAGGCACCTTACCTTGTTCTGGTAGCAGTGGTGGACCACCAAATGCTCTTAATGATATTCTGAAATCGTTGCCCCCTGCATTTGCAGCGTTCATGGCAAATTTGCCAGCTGTTGAAGGTATAGTTCCAAGTTTTCCTCTTCCTTTCTATCAAATCTAACAGTCACTTAACCTTTGAAATCTTAATCAAGTGCTTTATAAAGGTTATTAAAATCGCTTTTACTCTGTTGTTAGCTTTCTTTTCTATTAAATTACTACTTTACACTTGCATGCCAATAGTGGTCTACCGATTGAAGAAGGCGCAACACCTTTCATGGAAAGATTCTGGAGCTTCCTTTCTTTTTTTTTTTTAAATGTTGGAATTGCCATGTGTGATTTTAGTTCAATTCTTTTCTTCCATTCTACTTCCTGTATATTATGTCTGCTACGTTTGTGGGATCCAATAGGTCGTCAATTGAATCTGCTGCAGGTGGGCATAGATCTGGAGAGAAGATTTTTTATGTGAATGTTATAAGTATTTTAATCTCAACTTTAAATGAAAATCAGCAGTCAAATGAAACAGCAACATAGATAGCACGTGCAAATGATTGGACTGGAGCTAAATTAGTAGTTGTCTAATAAGGAGATTATACCTAAAACTATTGAAGAACAGTAAAAGGTGAAAAAAGAACTAATTTGTTTATTAAACATCATTTAATTGTACCTAGTCTTTTCGTAGATGCATAAAAAAAACAGGGGAATCGGTAACTTGAGTACATGCTGTTAAAAGTGCTTTTTACAGAATTTCCCACATTGCAAATTATCCTACAATGCTATCTAAATATCAAACTTTCACAAACAGCAATTATCTCTCCTGGAGGATAAGGCTGCTAATTCCTTCCTCTATCAGAAAGTATGTGTTGCTCTTTAATAACTTGAGTTTTCCCTGGAACTGCTAGGTCCTACTCCTGATGCTGATTTCGTGATATCCGTATGTTTGCAAAGCAACATTCCTTTAGCAACCGGAAAATCAGGAACCGCCTCTTTTCCGTTGCAGTCAGGCCCTGCTCCATCTACGAGTGACATCTCTGATTCAAGCAAATTCAGGTCGAGAGACAGACAGACTGGAAAGAGGAAAGACATGGATAGTATGTAAACCTTTTCCTATGATATGATTTATGTTCTTGCTCATGCAATGCCTGGGAATGTGTCTCTTCTCACAGCCTCACTGTTGCACCAAATCATTGTCTGTTTTCATCTTTCGCTCTTCGCATGTAGGCCTGTTTAATTCCTATTATTCGCTTCATGTAATCCACAAATACTTATTCCCTACTGTTGTTTTGGAAGTTTGCATTATGTTGCCATGCCCATATATGCCTTCGCATAATGATGCTAAATATAATGTGTCGTTTATAACATACAAAGACCTGGTTAATTTGTTGCAGGGCAAAAGGATGATGAATCGTCGACTGTACAAAGCCAGCCCCTTCCTAGAGATGTTTTCAAGATTCGCCAATTACAAAAAACCCGTGTTGCTAGTTCGTCTCGAGTTACTAGTTCATACACTGGATCAGCGTCTTATGGTAGTGCTCTTTCTGGAGACCTCTCGGGCAGCACTGGTTGATACATTCCAAATTCCTGCTATTTGCTTCTGGCCATTCTCTACTGTAATTTACTTGCAAAGATGGAGTAATATTTATCATTACATGTCAGTATCAAGAACTGTTACATGTTCAAGAAATCTATAGCAGCAAAGAACGCTCTTCGTCTCTGCGTTTCCTTTCACAACAAGAGAACCGCGTCCGCATCAGTCAGTGGTGGAAGGTTTCCGAGAAGGCATCGGCCTCTAGCCCAACAATGGAGCTAGGTGTATACAACATGTCGATATTTCTTTCAAAAGTGAGATACCGGCTTTCATAAAAGCGATATATTATGTAAAGTAACTGACTGAGAAACATAACAGGAAATTGTTCTGGTGGTTACTTTATCTACAGTATAGCTAGGGATGATAATCTTATTTCAGTGTGATGGAAATATTTATTTTTGTTTATGTTGCTTTCTGGAATTATGAATTTCCTCCCTTGTATTTAAAGACCTTTTATTGAAGTTGGACTTTGTGAAGACTAGTGAGAAGCGTTTGATATTTGTACTAGTTAGGATCCTGTTGTAATGATTTCCACATAACGTCTCAATGTCTTTAAAAAAATGAAAATTAGGAAGATTTAATATCTCAATAAAAATTCTACTATTTAAAAGGTACTCCCTATGTTCCATTTACGTGATTCATTTTTCTTTTTAATAATTTGTCTAAAAAGGGATGATATCTTTCTCTATTAAAAAAACGACTTCTTGTATTGATTAACATCCCGAGCTAATAATGAACGATTCTTGATTACATATTATTTATTTTTTGATAAAAAGTAGTGGTCAAATCAATTTACTGCACCTTGACTAATTCGGCTAACTTTAACATTGGAAGATAAAAAAAAAACAGATGGCTGTGTACAATAATAACAACATACTTAGGGGTCGTTTGGAAGGATGCATTAGATAAAATAATGCATGCATTAGCTTTGTGTATTAATAATACCTTGTTTGGTAGATATTTTGAATCTATGCATTAGTTATGCAAGCATTAGTTATGCATTCTATTTGGTATTATCCTATGCATAACTAATGCATAGAAAACCATGGTATTAGCAACACAATGGATTTTAATGCATGTATTAGCTTAGTTAAAGACAAAATTGTTCTTCAAAATTTATGCTTTATTAAAATATGCTTGTTATTATATTAATGCAAGTTTAAATAATCCAAATTGTGAAAAATAAAATTATTCCCTAGTAAATAAATAAATACTTAGCATATTTTCTTTTTTATAAATAAATATTTAGTTCTATATTACAATATAGGTAGACAAATCAAATAATTTTTTTAAAACTTTTTCATATAAAAACATTTCTCAACATATGTTTCTTTTAAAAAGTTAGAGTGATGGACTGGTTTTGAGGGCATTTTTGTAAACAAATAATTTTTTTAGAAATTGTGCAATGCTTTAATACATCAAACCAAACAATAGATAAGAAATATGTCAGCATAACTAATGCAAACATAACTAATACCAGCATTACTAATACACCGTATTCAGCATTATTCTTATGCACCCTACCAAACGACCCCTTAATGTGATCATATAAACGTGGTCTGAGTGAAATTCAAAAATAACCAGATTTATAAGTGATAATTGCAAAATAGCCACAATTTCAAAAGTAATCGAAAGTTAGTCACTTTTCATGTAAAGATAAATTTGAACAAAAACACTGTTCGAAATTCAAAAAATATTCCAGCATAATATACCGGAGTTCCAGCATAATATACCGGAGTTCCAGCATAATATACTGGAGTTCCAACATAATATGCTGGAAGTTCATACACAAGTGCTCCAATCTCCAGTATATTATGCTGAAACTTTCTGTGTTGCAACAAAATAGTGGCTATTTTTCAATGATGTCGCAAACGCTGGCTATTTTTCAATTACCAATTTGAAAACTGGCTAGCCCGTGCTATTTTTACCTCTTGGGAAGGTAGGGTACACACAACCTGATCCCTACCTTGTATATTGTACAGAGGCTATTTTCAATAAATACTCGGCTAAAAAAAGCGTTTTCAAAACAGAATTATAAATAGAGGTTGTGTAATTAATTAAAATGAATAGGCTGAACTTGTTCAAGAATCTCATCAAAATCTGAGAGAAATAAGTAAATATCCTACCTTTTGATTGGTTGGACGGCAGCAAGAAGTCATAAGCACGCAGATCACATGTTCAAGTTTTTGCCAAATACAATCAAGTTAAGTAAAGATTAAAGAAAGGCTTAATAATTAACAAAAAAATAGTATGCTAATCATATTATTATTAGAAGTTGATAGAGCATATAATAAAATAAATGAGCACATCAAATTTATATTTCAGATTATCCCGTCGCCTCTGATTAAAATGCAAAGCTCATATATGGAGTAAAATAATGCACAAAGAAATTATTATTAACATAATGCAAATTATAGAGCTTAACGTGTATCATTTTGTTCCAATCATTTTCCTCTTGAAAATTGTGGACATTTTTTTTTTGTCCTCAAATTTGTGGATTGGAGATTACCTATTCCGTTAAAGAAGGGAAACACGAATCAAGCTGATGTTTACTTAAGTAATCTTTTAATTTCCTACAATTTTGGACGACTTTCCTACGAGCTATTTTTTCTAATCTCCGCGTATTAATTCTTTTAGTATTATAAACAGACTTTTCTCGTTATATATAATTACAAGAAGTACTCCTCCAACCACCAAATGATGTGATGGAGTAAATAAGACTGCTCTTCCGTTTCCCTTTGAATAGGCCTTACGCTGAACTAATTCGGATATAATCGGCTCTAATGCGGGTACCGGGATATCATGGAGAAAAATGCGGGTACCGGATATCGGGGAGAAATAAAATAATAAAAAAAGTACTCCTAAATCTGGCCTTTGGAAGATCCCAAAGGACGTGAAAAAGATCGTTTTTGTTTNCATTACTGCATGCCTAACAAATCGTCCTGCATTTTAGAGCAATATTATTGGAAGTAATTGAATCTTTAATTAAAAAAGGAAAAGGAAAAAAAAGAGAAAGGCGATTTTTCTTCTTCTTTTTTTCTTTCTTCCTTTTCCCGGAGCTATATATGTAGTTTCTACTATTGATTACCATTCCAAAATTGATAACGAAGAATTCTTCCCTTTTATTTTTTTCAATAAAAATAATGTTTGAACTCACTTAAGCGCTTCTCGATTAATGTACCAGATACTATATATTGAGTTGTCATATATCCGTAGAATTTGAGGTCCTTGGTCTTGGGCGATCCTAATTTGATAAGTTAACTTTTAGTTGAGTTAGATCTAACGTCCAATTCTTTATCGATCTATCCCACATGGTAGGGGTAAGATCTGTGTACACACTATCCTTCCTAGACCCACTTGTGGGATCATACTGGGTTGTTGTTGTTGGTATATATTATGTTATCCACGCTCCAGTTTGCTGAACGTGTGGGGAGGGGTGAGGGGCGGGGGAGGTTGAGTTTTCCTACACCGGTGGAATTTAAGGTATTTGGTCTCCTTATATATGGTCTTATGCAATAATCCTCAACACATGAATTAGCTTTTGGGATTGAGTTGTTCAAGAATTCCACCACCAAATTAGGGAATATATAAATACCCCACATTTTGATTGGTAGGAATATTGCTTCAAGAAGTAGTAAACATGCATATCACATGTTCAAGTTTTTACCAAATTAAATGGAAATCAGTATGAATTAAATCTGGCTAACTATGCTACATAATGTACAAGCTTTAACAAGAAATCTTAGCTCATTTATAATGGAAATCTCAAGGGTAGCTGTACCAAAAGTTAAGCTCCCATACAATGTTCTATATTATACCCCAAGAGTCCCGGACGAATCCCAATTCTACCTTTTAAAACAGAGCTCCCATGCAAACTGACGCATCTAAATAAAAGAAGACGAAAAAGAAACTAAAGCTATACCCCAAGAAAGTTCTTTACAGATAAGTATACAAACAGTGTGGTTACGAGATCTTTTTGGAAAAATCATGCAGCGTATCCCAAAACGGCCGATATGATACCATATCAAGAACATCATTAGGTCGTTTTACCTCAACACTATTTTTGGCAAATTATTTAAGGAAGAAGTCCAATGTAGGGTGTTGGAAGAATGGATTGTGTTGACGAGGAAGAATTGTTTTTAGAGATGACAGTAACCACAGCATCTATAAAACTTGTCAAAAACTCTATCGCCATTTTCATCATCTCCATGCATGTTTCCAACCTCTGAATCACCATTATGATAATAAGAACAATACTATACTAATAATTATATTGATAAATGACGTATAAATCTCTCAGCTTTAAATTTATGTTCTCCACGTATTCTTATATATATAGTTAAAAGAAACTTAACTCCTCCATTGGTTAAGCAAAGCAAAGAAAGTTGTAGCTAAATCTGGCCTTTGGAAGACCCCAAGGGACGCAAAAAAAAATAAAAATGGGATTGTTACACAAATAGCCGCTAGTGTTTACTTTTTCTAGCCCGTATATAAGATTATACATAGTTATATATATATATATTATACATAAATCTTATATATATTATACATCATCCGTCTATTTTTAGTTTAAGAAATTAGGTGGGCGGCTATTTGGGTTAATTTCTTAAAAAAAAAATTGCTTGCTATTATCACATATCTTGGACTGTTATTACTTGCCATCGATACTCCCTTAGTTTGTTATCACTATATATTTTGCATTGTTATTACTTGCTTCGATACTTCTTTCATATTCTCCTTTGCTATCTTGGATTTAGTTTTCTAAATATCTTGTATTGCTATTACTTGCTATCAATGCTTCTTCCATTTTTTTAGCCGAGGGTCTATTGAAATAGTCTCTCTTTCCTTCCAGGATAGGGGTAAAACTGCATATATCCGGCCCTCTTTAGATCTCATTTGTGAAATTACACTGGGTGATTGTTATTGTTGTTGGTTTCGTGGGAGTAGACAAGTGGGTCATAAATATATATATTTTATTAGCTCTTAAAAATAATAGTAGAAAAATTGTATATTTTTTTTATATATATATATGTATATTATATACATATTTTATATACTTTTAGGTTAGTGAATATAATTAATTTCGACCGACCGATCAATTTTATATTTTTCCATAAATATTTCGTTCAAAGGTATACAGAAACCCAGTTGGAAGCACATAAAAGGAAGAGCAAATCTAGAATCTTCGAAATTGAGACTACAAAAAAAAGATGTTTTAAATTTTTAATAGGCAAAATATGTGGAACTAAAAATGTCCGCGTTAGGCTCGATATTTTGCATGACTATAATTAATTTAGTAGTGTATCATTTCACTCCCCCATTTTATATTTGATCTTTCCTTCATTTATTACGTCGGTTGTATTTGCCAAACCTCTTATGATCAATTGTTCCACGTGGCTTTGATCAAGAATAATCTTCTTATTGTTGTGCATCAATTCAGTCAGTCGGATTCAAAATTTAAATTTATTGGGTTCGGCTTTA